TCTCTCTTTATTATGATATGGGGAACTTAACCATCATTACTACACATAATGTAAGAGTATCGACTCCTTTTACTAAAATTAATTAGACATACATGCATGTTAGGAACTAGGTGAAAAAAACCTGAAAAATGCGAATAATGTGAGGCAGAAACCACATGTAGTACGTAATAAGCAGAATGCTAGAAAGTATTTTCCCTCTTCTCTGTTTAAAAATATTTGTTCCTTGCGTGTTGAAGTATAGAACTTGCTGCTGAGAGTATGCTAAATGACCGATTTATTTATGCATCGACATCATTCACCGACTTTTCCTATTACTATATTATTTTAGAACTGCTATTAGGTAACAGAGGTCTTTTCGACTAATGTCTCAGAATTTATGAGATAAATCCATGATTATTGTAATTTGTTGGTTGGATATTGGATACTCTTCTTACAGAAGACTGAAGTAAATATAGATCTATCAACTAAAGAATACATCTTTTCAAGATAGATGCAATGATTAACAACTATATAAAGTTGTGATTTACAAGAGACAAGACAATGACAATATGTCTCAGTATTCTACTATACTATTCCTCGAGTTCAAAAAGATTGAATGAAATTTTTACGGCAATCTACAGAAAAAATATGATAGATCATGCCCTAATCTAAATAAGAGATTCATAGGCATATCATCAAATTTGACAAGGTTCCGATTATTTTTCAAAATAGTTACATTTTCTTTATTATATAAGATTATTTGCAATAAAGAAAGTATTTGAAGATTAGAGAGTTAAGTCTTGTCATAGAATTTTGATCTAGAAAACATTTTAAATACTTTTATAGACAGAAAATAACTGTGAATATAATAGTCTATGTTTATTATTAGAAACATGGAGAACCTCGTCATTTCAATATTAACATCTGGCAGATACGATCAAATATTAATAGCTCTTATGGTCTTTGTACAGGTTCAACATGTAGTTCTGAACCTAAACAAAGTCTCATAATGGATTATCAAAGATCTTCTTATTCTGATGAAATTATTGTACTTATTTGTAATATTTATATTGGTAATTATCTTAAAAGTATGGGACCTGAACCATCACAAAGATCATTACATTACAATAGTACAATTGAGAATGCTCAAAAAGCATGCAGAGCTGATGTACAAATAGCAGATTGGCCTCATGTAAGCGTCCCATTGAATAAGATTATTTTCAAAAAAAAACTAATCGAAATAATGCCATATCAAGCCTCATGAATACAAAAAACAGATTCTTTTGAAAATATGATACTGGGCTAATATTTTCGAGTTTTAGAATGAATCGTCCATGTTCTTCTTAATGGTTAAATATGTATATTGAATGGAGATTCAAAAATATTAGTCATGATGTAGACAAAGGAGAAGTTCTGAAATCTCTATAAAAAAAAGGACATTTTTACATAAATTTGAAAATCATCGTCTCGTTTTCTTATTGATAGAATAGATCTAAGTTACATTTCTCTGAAATTAACGAATGATACAGAGCTGCATTGTTATTCTAATTTCAGTCAGCAGCAGGAAGTCTTGAAGTATTATTTGTCGAAGATCAAGTAAACTCAGGAGACATCACAACAATGGCTGATATCCCAACGAATTTTCACATATGCTTAGAAGACAATCTTATGAAATTAGCAGAGATAATGGATTTATCAAGAGATGAAGTCGATGAGATGTTAGCAAAGATGACAACAACAACTACTACTACCGCCAGTACAACTACAGTGACAGCTACAACGACAACGACAACGACAACAACAACGACCACCACAACTACAACAACAACAACAACAGCAACACCAACGACAGCAACTGCAACAATAACAACAACACTTACTACCAATACTGTGATCAGTACTAAAGTACGGTTTATTAATCTGTTGCCTTTCTGTTCATAATGCTTAGCAACCGATGTAAGAGAGGAGGATATATGAAGCTATTTTTCACACTCCATCCTTTGTAGATTTCAGATTTTTTTATCAGAATCGAGTTATATATCTTATCTAATCATGCTCTAGCGGTCAAACTTTCGACATGTCACATCAGAGTTTTTGAGACTCTAAAAAGAATCAAGGATTCAAAAGAATTTTATTTCATACATTTGTTAGTATATCTACCGAGGTATATTAATTCAATAGTGTTCATCAGGAATATCTTATTCAGGATGAATTAAACCATATTCTCTGCCCTTGTAGAGCCCACGTAATGCTGCTCCTAAGAGAGATCTCTGATTCGGCCTGGATGCCTTTTGACTTCAATCATACTTGAATCTTGATGAAAACTAATTATTTTTCATAATCGAAATTCCAAGTTCTATCGTAATCCGTACTCTCAACAATTAGTTGAAACCATAGAAGAAAGTTTATTGATGATTCTGGATCAAATGAGATCGTGAACATATCTGTCAGCATGTGCGTATCTTTTTGACTAGTGAGAATAATGCTGCTTGAATGTGAAATTTTATCATGAAAAAGCTTTGAACTGTATCCAATGGGTTTTCCAAGAGACACAAAATGGTTGCGCTTTTGATTTTGTGTGTGGATATGGGTGTTCCTGTGGGTGAAATACATATAGACACCCAACTCAGCACCCACACCACATCCACTTTGACATACAAAAGGTGGAAGGGGAAGTACAAAAAAAAAATAGCTTGATCTGCGCTTCATCTTTATTAAAGTGTCTGCTTGACTTCTCAAGTTTTTTGTAAACATAATATGTTTACAAATTATTTTGAGTGACATGAAGTTGAATTTGCACTAGCATTTCTTATCTACGACAAATTTTCCTAGTGAATATATGTTGTTCCGAGTACTGATTTACTGCGATGATTCTAGCTGGATGCTTGAAAAAGTCTTATACTACCAGAGTATCAAAGGCACTTGAGTAGGTATCATTTATGTATATTGTTTCAGTGCAAAGATACTTGAAAAAAATCCGTAAAATATCAGATCGAATGTTTATTCAATATCCGACATCCTTCATTGAAAATTCTTTCACAAGCTTTCTAATCAAGTAGCTAGAAGTATCTTATGTCCATCTCTTCAAGAATTCATCATCTATACAAAAGTATTGATGTATTGAAAAGTAGCATTCACATACTGGTTACAGTTAGTTTTTTCGGTGATAATGATATGTAGAATTGAGAAAATGTGACTATTAATATGTATTAATTTGATTTTCTCCATTAGACTGAACTATCAACCGAGTCTACATTTACATCAACTACGACGCTGTCGACGACAACTATTACCAACTCACAGGTATGGTTATAAACATGTCATCTTGTTTATGTACAATCATTAGAGCTTTAATGATGTGTTTCAATCAGAATGTAGCTTGTCCAAGCACTAGAAATAAATCCTGATTTAAATCATTGACGAATTTCAGAAGTTAATTAAGTGATTATTAGTACAGTTACGCATGTAACAAAATATCTATTCAAGAGCATTTTGAACAAGTATTGGCATCTTTAAGAAATTCCTTCTTGTCTAAAAGATTTGTTTTAATGATTTTTATGAAAATCAAGTTAACAAAATTTTATCATTTATTAGATCTCAACAACTTCATCATCATTTAGTTCTACAACAAAGAAACGTGAGTTGATATACTATTAAAGATTGAATATTTAGTTTTGTCTTTTTAGCAAACAACAATATTTTGGGTATTATTATTGGTTCCATTATTGGCGGTGTTGCCTTTGTTGTTGTATTGGTTGTTGGTCTCTACTTTTGCATCAAAAAGGCAAAGCACAAATAAGAGCAAAGAAATAAAGTCTGCCAATATGTGTATGGCATGAATCATAATCGAACATTCATATTTAAAAAAAAAAATTTTTTTTATTATAACAATTCGTTCACGTGATAACAT